TGACCCACACACCGGGCCATTGCCACCCGCCGACAGTGCAATGTGGAACAATAGTTACTTAATTTTAATGAGCTACCTACTATATTTGTCTATAGTTTTGCAGTGACCGAGGCACACGAGGCCTTTATTGCTTTTATGCTCTTGATTTTTTATGAATTCGGCCATAATCTTCGAAATGCGATCATTTATGGCGGAGAATTTATGCCTTTTAGTCCAGAATGATCAATTTCCATTATTTAAATATTCAATTCACGAATGTCAAATTCCCGGTATGTCCAATCTGTTTCATCATCGTTTATTGAATGAGATGTAGTACAAAATACAGTTGTTCAAGCGTTTGTGCCTTCATTACAATGCCTTTGTGCTTCTTTAACGCTATGCAGCACTAGCTTCTTTGGGTATTACGTAGGCTCAAAATACCTACTAAAATCATAAATCATCTGTGTATTCAACAAACCTATCATGACAGTAGATTATACATTTCTGCAACTGGACATTTAGAAAATTTTAAGTTTTGAAACCTTGCACATTCTGAACTGAAAGGAATCAATGGTCGGTGCCTTCATTTCCTGGCGTCTTTGTATGGTCATTGGCGTCTTTGGATGGTCTCGGGCGTCATTGGATGGTCACCAAATCGCTCGTTTTAGTTCACACTTGTTCTAATTACAAAAAAAAAACACAAAGTAGATACCTACATAATCAGTCGTAAGCACTATAATGACAGTAGCATAAGGGACTAAGGTAATTATGTTTCAGAATGAACATTAATTAATTAATTTGTTTACAATCAGTAGTTTTCCTTTTATAACAAAACAAAATACGGTTATCACCAAATATCACCCAAATATTTAGTTGATAAGGTACTCGGCGCGTGAGTCCGATTTCTACTTGGCAGGTTTATTAGTAGTTTGTCACAAACATTTACATATCTATACTTATAATATAAAAGTTAACTGATCTTAGTCTGTACATTGAAGATATATGAAAAAAAACTATTATGAGGGGCACTTATAAACGTAATACAACACAAAACATGTTGTTTGCGCACGCTAATCTCAAAAACGGCTGAACCGATTTAAATGCAGATTTCAATGTTGTGTAGTGGTTATCTCCCGTTAACATTTAGTGTATGGTTTATTTCAATCGGTTCATAAATAAAAACCTTATGTTCAAAAATTGCAGTGAAATAAACATCTTTATTAAATTTTTGTCTTTAATGTGTTGATCATCATCATCAGCTCTTTTATATGCCTACTGTAGGGTCCCAGGGCCTTATTTAATATTTTTTTTTGGTCACCCATCCCGTGAAAAACTCTAGCGAAAATTCCTTAACAACAATAATCGCGGGCAGCGGCGCTTATCCATTGGCGAGCTACGTATCAATATTTTCTGTAAAATGATAATTTGTAAGATGATAACAAAAAAATAAGTAAGCATTATTTTAGATTTCCAATGTAAGTTGACCTCAATTATATATGACCAATCATATTTAATAGGGCTCAGCTTATAATGGACATTGGTATACCTTCACGCGATTAGGAGAGCAGTTAAGCATCTAGTAGTTTACAGTGAATGCACGTATAAGGTTTTCGATAGTTATTTTTATCAGGTTAGGTTCATGTTTTCGAGGTTAGCGGAGCACAGGTAGTTGCAAATATATTTTTAAATTCATTTGTATCAGTTTAAAACATGAGATTGAATATGTTTATTTATCCATAAAACTTCATATGTTAACATATTTTCCACCGTTTGCATTCTAACTTAGAAAATAATTTATAATACCTATCTGTGGAATGTAAACGGTTCTTTTTCATATAGTTCGTTGTGGAAAATGGGGCCGGCTTTCTAGGACGCGCTCATTGTGAAATCGCCGAATCCACAAACGAACCGTATTTCTCTGTAATTAATAAAACCAAATTAACATGGTATAGGGATTCATTCCGTATGTATTAAAAGAAGGAAACAAAAAACTACCATGATAAATTAATTTATTTTCAACTAGCAATTGCCCCGCGACTTCGCACGCATAAATTATAGCCTATGTCAATCCCGTATGATGTAGCTACCCGTAGGTGAAAGAATTTTTAAAATCGGTTCAATAGTTTCGAGCCTGTTCGATACAAAAAAAAAATTTCCTTCTTATAATATAGAAGTAGATACAATTACTTAACGACACATTTATAATTCTTTTACGCTTTCAGCAATGCTTCGGCCTGAATTTTCTTCGTTCGTGAATTTACAATTTCACTGCGCTCCACTACAGTTAAATTTCTAGAAGAATAGTCTGTAAAGATGCCAAAGTTGCAAACTGACAGATTGTTACAGTGTTATTAATAAAAAAAGTTTTGCGTTGAAGTAAATTTACGCTGAGACTGCACTTACATTAGCATTAATAGTCAAAATTCATATTATTAAACAGAAACTTAGTAAATGTTAACTGCCTATAATGGGTAGTAGGTTTGCTTATTCTTTGTATATTATGAATTTGGATTAATACTAAAATTGCAATTTTAGCGTAAATTTATTCTGACGCTGAATCTTTTTTATTAATAGCACTGATACACTCAGTGCAATTAATAAAATAGAAAATCGTCAAAATTATAAAAATGTGGAAAATAGATATTAAAGACGGATGGTTCATCACTATTGAAAAATAATAAGGTATTCATTTGCTTATTGGTTAAGAATAAAACAGGCGGGGTGGTGGTTAACCTATGCAAGCAATATTATTCTCAAAAAGGGACTGGGCAGAAATTTTGTTGATACGGGATATTTAAATATTATTAGCGCTCTCTTTAACTGATGTTAGGAAACATCTACTCGTGAAAGTGAACGCTCGGTGTCAGTGCTGTTTAAAGTACGATAACTTAAAACCTGTAGTTGCTTAACGTTTTCGTAGAGGGCGCTATTCAGTGTTGACAGAGCTTTATTTAAAAAAAATATTATAAACAAAAATAGTTTTTGATTTGAGTACCTTAAATAATTTTTTTTGAGAGAAAAATATTTTGTTAAAAAAAAGGAAAAAAAAATATAAACTTTTTTATCGTAGATTCGAACTTGTTACTTTTTTGCATAACCTATACCATAATTTCGTCACGTCTTTCGACTGGGAGCGTGGCGTCTCCTGTAATCCGGCTACTCGGAGGTCGGGGCCGGAGGATGGTTTGAGGTCGGGAGTCCTGGTGCTGAGTGGCACATGTTGACTGGACGTCCGCACTAAGCCTGGTGTTAATATGGACTTTCCGGAGGAGTCTGGAAAGTGCAGGTTAACTAAGGAGGGGCGAACCGGGCCAGGGGGGAAACCCAGCAGCCAAAAGTCCCCGCATCGGGCAGTAGTGGGATAGCGGCCGGGAGTGGGCGCTCAGTAACAGCCTGACCAATACAATCAGACCCGTTCCTTTTGCTGGTTGTTTTTAAGAAGATTAATGAACTACATAATTATTTCTGTATTTAAAGTTCAAAATGTATTTTTGCGAATCCACAAGCCAGATTTTAGTCTTTTTGTTTGTGAATTCAAAATATCATCAAAACTATTTACTTTTCCTTTATGGTACCTAATTTATTATAAAACCTTTTTTAATTTGTCGAAAGCTCGGAATTTTCTTGGAGTACTTTTATTTTGTTTGATATTAGCGCACTATTTTCTTTTCACGTCTAATTGATAAACCTTAGGTTAAAAACAAAACACTAGAAAACAAGTGAAACGCCTAAAGTGAGTTATTCTAGCGACGAAGTTTATTTAATGTCGACAGAATTGACTGAAACTATAATGTAGTAAGTAGTTAATACCTAAACTGAAATAAAAGTATGTGAAAGCAACTTTGCACATATATATAACAAATAAATATTATCTTTTATGCTTAACAAAATATAGAAGAGAACAAAATACTGGCCTAGTGCAAATTGGTCTGACGAACGGTGGGGTAGTGGATAAGCGCCGCGGCTTTGCGATCATTGTTGTTAAGCATCTTTCGCAAGGGTCGGTCACGGGATGAGTGACCAAAAATTACAGGACAACTGTAAACGGCTTAACGTGCCGTTGGTCATAGTAGCATTTGCAGTTTGTCGTAGAGCGTCTTGGAACATCCTCCTTAACCATCCACAAGGAAGGCTTGAGTCCCTGCAGTGGGGACGTAAAAGGGCTGATGTTGATGGATTGTAATAGCTCAAGCAGTATTTCCTTTTCCAGTTCTGATTTATATATTTAAGTCGGTGATTTCGGTGGGGGCGTTCCGCTCGGGTCTCCAAATTACTGCAGCCATACGCAAAATCATAATAATATAATAAAGTTAAATAATTATTAATTTACGTCTTGGTGTATAGGCAATATCAAGTTTCTGCCCCGCTTGAAAAAAGTAATGAATTTTCAATAAGAGAGTCATATCACTTTTAATTTGTGTGGAACCTTCACTCTTGCCTAGTATTTTTTTAATACCTCCCTAGTTGAAACTTAATTTTGAAAAAGATTTTCACAAGTCCTTTCATTTGATATGTTTGTTTATTTGTTTAGTTTTCTAACTAAAGCCGTAAAAGTGAGCTTTATCTCCGATATTTATTTATTTACATTACCCGACCGTGTTTCGGTGTGTGCGTGTACCTATGTGTATTACAATTGAACACTTCAATAGTTTCGGAAGAAGTTGACTATGACAGACGGACAAGCAAGTCAAGGGATCTGTTTTTTTGATGTACGGTATATTAAAAAACGAAGCAAAGACATTAAAGAACCTAAACGAAATCCATATGTTTCGCTACTTTGTTAAAAAAACAATTTCATTAGCTTTATTAAATTAAGGAAAAGTGCAAATTAAATATATAAATTCAGGGATCACTAGTAGAGTACACGAAGTAGTAAATGAGCTAGTAAATTTTTCTATTACTTTATTTCAGATTTGACTTTTATTACAATTCAAGTGACTACTGTGCAGTTTGATTGCTACGTTGACGTCAGCGTCAGTCGATGTGGTACTTATTTGGTAAAATAGCCTTAAAGTGTTGCTCTCATCCGATCACATCATCGTCCGGTTCACTACAGTCAATTTAATTTGACTGGTTCTTTGTCTTTCATCTCTGCTTCTGCGGGTATCGATGGATCCATCTTCAGGTTTGGCACTGGTTCAGCCATTTGTTCCTTCTTTTCGGACTCTGACATTATAAGTTCAGGAACTTGCAAAGGTTTACCGTCTTCCGCTAGCTCTGGAGAGGCTATAGCAGCTCGCTCTTGCGGTACGTTGGCTTTCACAGGTTCTACTCGTTTCTAAAAAAAAATATTACGTTTTAACTCCTGGCACGGTAACGGAGGTAACGTCTAATGGTAAACGCATATAAAATTTCGTTGACCTCATCGAAGTAGAGAATTTTAAACATTGTTTGTATGGAAACAAAAATATGAACCTCCGCACATCAGTATGCGATGAGTCGTCAAAATTCTAATATACCTAATTCATTTGGGAGGTGTAAAGTAAATTCGTTTCGTCCTTGATTTATTACTAGCCATAGGCACCTGTTTGTTTATGAAGCGGTGCATTTTGTATTTGCTTATCATTAATCTATACATATATTGTTTTTTTTAATGCATATCAATTTACTACAATAACTATTTTTTTTCCACCAAAAAGTTAAAATATCAAAATATGAGTAACTACCTCAACAGGTTGTTCCACCTTGTCGCCAACGACCACATCTCCCGCACTCTTCTCCACGATCGGTACTATCTTCCTGGTCTCATCGTACGACGGGTCTGCTATAGGGTCTGGTAGAACAGTGCAGTCTGCCTGATTGGTCTTCACGAAGAAAGCTCTCGAAATCTTGAACCTGTCCAAGACCGCGTATGCCTTCTGCATGATCATCAACGATGGAAGCCTTTCTCTTGTAAGCAACCAGGCGCTTTCTGAAAATACATAAGGTGTTTATAAAAAATGTGTTATTGTCATATAACTAACATAAACATGATTAGTGGAATATAACGTTTTTGTTACATTGAAGAGGTTTAAACTATTGCTAATGGGTCAATACCTCAAAAAGATAAATTTCTTCACATACCCAATTTTGATTCTTGATTTGTTGATAGGTAAGCTTAAAAGTTCCAGAAACTTGTTCTTTTTTGTGTGCACAATTTATGATAAGAACTTACGTGTGTGTACCGGTCCCAGACCGCTGCACGACCACATGACGGCATAGCTGTCGTAGTCTGTGTCCAAAATGCTGTACTCGTAATCATAGGGCAGCGGGAGGGAGGAGTATTTCACCATAAAGCGGCCTTCTCCTTCTCGACCAACCATCTGCAGATGTCCTTCCATGAGGCGCTTCAAACCAGTGCTGCTAACGAAAAGAAACCGATGTGTGGATGAAATTAGAGAAGAAACGTATGTCAGGGCTCAAATCTGTCAAAGAGGGAATCAGAACAGGGCTATGTCCAAAACTTGACATTATTAAACATCATTGCTTAATAAATCTTATGTCATGAGACCTTGTAATGGAGAATTTAAGTTATTTTGTCATAATCTATTGCTTCTAATACATATGTAGGTACTGACATGTAGTTGGTGATCTCGTTGCTGACCAGGATCCTGCCCTCCGGTGTGCTGACGTAGTTGGTGGTTACACAGCGGCTACCCAGCTCGCTCACCGTAAAGTACCGCTCTACCTCGAACCAAGTGCCCAGGAACCGGTTCATGTTAAAATTAGCCATGGGCTGTGATGGAAGAGGATTGATTTAGTATTTGAAGACCCAAGGATTAAAAATTTTCCGCAATTTTCGTTAATTACATAATATTCAGTTAGAGCACTGAAACCATGTAGACTGATGAAACAATTATTAAAATGTTTTTTTTAACATTTTGTCATAGAAAAGTAAAACTTTTTAAGTCCCAAAAAAGCAGCACATCGTTAAATAATCAAAAACTTATTCAAAAAGATATATTTGTTAAAAGTCCATCTTAAACTGTGTTTTACTTTCATTCTTGTAAAGAAATTTATTCGGATTGATTCGAACAACTTCGCAAACTCATCCGTCGAAAGGGAAAGCACAGAGAGTAACGACCTGCGCGGGAGCAACTGGTCCATGTTGTCTGTGGTCAGTGTCGGCCGCGTTATATAAACCACGTAACGTGGTTCAAGGGCGAACACCGCTTATTAATAAATTCATCGAAACAGTTTCATTCATAATGATACTGTGTGCATAAAAAATATTGGACAGAAAACATTAGTCACTGTAATTATAAATGATTTAATTGAGGTTAATATCTACCAACGTCGTCAGATTTTTTCGGGAAAAAGCAAAATTTTGATAAAGTGAAAACGGGATTCTTGTGTTGATACTGGGTTGTGTACTAATACAGTAAAAATTACAGAATGAGATAGATAGATATAGATTAACATTTGAGATAAAAACACTTGTGTCTCTTGGAGGAATATCAATAAAATAAATTTATTATTTATTTTAAAGAACGAAGTCAATTGAATTGAATTCGAATTAATTTAGGGAAGCGTTTAGTTTTGTGAGTTTGTATGTATGTATGCCGATGGTAATCTCTGGAATCCTTTTAGTGTGCTTTGATACCGTAAATGGAACATTTTCATAACGTGCAAAAATCTTCTTAAAGTTTGTGGATCAAGAACGTGAAGACTTATATTTTTAGGTCCTGGGCAGCTTAGTGGTTAAAGTAGTCACCCGGATTGCGAAAGGGTTTGGGTCTCATCATCATACGTTGGATATAATAATTTTTCACTAAATAAATCTAATTTGAAGGCTTTATAGACGTTTAAAAATTTCAATAGACCTACTATTTTTGTGACATCAAAATCAATTTACCAAAATCAATGATAAAACATTTGCTCCGTCTCATAATATTAAGTCTAACAATAATCAAATTTGTTATTTTATAATAAAAAAATGTTATTTTGAGTTTTCTGTTAGATTGAATGATCTTCAAAGTCTGTCACGTATATCCTATATCATCGTATATTAGTAGATAAGACTTGAAATGTGAGTGAATTGTGTTCTTGAAGTACTTTTTGGGATAATTTGGAAGTGCTCTTTGAAATACTTACGATGAATGTTTTTCATTGTCACGTGAAATTGATAAAAAATACTTGTACCAGCTGAAAGACACCTAATGAGTTATGGACATGAACTACTACTTATTTAGATACTACACGAATAAAGTTAGTTTTAAGATAAAACAGTAAAATATCTAAAAAAAAATGTGTGACAAATTTGTACTTATGTACAAATTTTCAAGTTTATGGTAATTTTATATGGTGTTCGTAACCTATGACATTCTAAATAAAAAAAATATCATCAATATCAGTAAATAGAATAGAAAAATAGATACAAAAAACATTCAGTAATTTAGAATGTAATCCTTATTATCCAATGGAATAAAGAATGCCTCTGTCGAGTTGACGAAGTTATGTAAATAATGTATCTTTAAATTAAGCAAAGTTATATTTTATTTACAGTTTTCTGTGTCTGTGTTATTTCGAGCTCTAATGCTTAAATAAAATAATTATAATTTCAAAAACACTTTTCGTTTCCAATTTTAGTTAAGTTAACTAAACAAAATGGTGAAAAATTCATGCAGCCACCGATTGTAGCTATAAAATGCGGAAATTTCAGGCATATCTTTAAAACTCTTGTTTATGTTCAAGTTTAAAGACACAATAAAAGGTATGAAATTAATTTAACACTAATTCAAACTTATAAAAAACAAACTAGAAGCTTTATAGCTGCACCATATTTTTCAAGATATTATTAAAGAATAATCTAATGGATTTCTATTGAAAACAGAAATTTAAATACGAAATTTTGTAAAGTTAAGAATTAAGATCTATTGTAGAGAAACATAAACTTTAAATACTATTTAAACTCACCTGAAAGTCAGGGCACCACCCCAGGGAGGGGATCTGCGCGGACGCAGTGGCGAGCAGGGCGAGCACCGACAGTCTCCACATGGTGTTAGGGAATGATGACTGGCGTCCCGACAACCTGGTTATAAACCCTCGCTCCAGGGAACCGGTCTAATGGATCCTTATCTATAATTTTGCATTGCTAGTTAGGCTTTGTCTTTGTGTGTGTTAATGCACTCTTTGTTTGCTTTTGAAATGGTTTCTTGAAAAGTATACTTGGTGATGTGCAGACTGGTTGTTGAGACTACTGATGTGAACAATTGGTAATTTTCCACATCGTGTGATTTTAATAATAATATATTATTTGATAAACACACGCAAAAATAGATTATATAATAGGGGTGGCGACATCATTTTTATATATATTTATTTTATAGATAAGGATAAGGACATAAATGAAATATATAAAAAAGTATTATTCGTTTTACTAATTAAATAAATTTAGCTTTCAAAATTTCCGGAAACAACGCCGTCTTTTGTCATGGCGTCGCTATGACGTCACGGCCCTCTGAAACTAATACCGTTCTATTATGCATAAGTTTCAATTTTCTAAGTTCTGATATGAGTAAGAGGGTACAAGACTATATATAATATAAAGTATTTGTTTTTTCATTGTTAATTTAAGCAATATTATAAATATTGCAAAATTTATGATTATTTCATAAAAATATGTATTTATAAGGGTATTTTTTTTCCTGTTTCCAATAATTTTTTACCTGTTTTTTTTTTCCTGTTTCTAATACAGAAAGTTCAGTGAAAAAAGTTTATTAAGAATTATCTTAATTTGGAATGCAATGTAAAGATAAACGTAATTTATTCTCACCATAAAAAATGGTTTTTCGGAAATATTACAAGCAATGCGCAAATATTATAATTAATATACTTAATTTATAGTAAAACTGGTGGTGATGAAGAAATAAAAAGATATATAAATTTAATAATCAAATTCACTTATTTCATTAATAGATGTATTTGTCATTTACATCTTTGATTAAGTTTAGTGTTATAGATAACGTCCCTACTTGAAAAAAGTGATCGTCTGGAGCCCACTTGCGGCTATCGATTCCCCATATTGTATCATCATATCATAATAAAACTAGAAACAATTGGCAATAACCGTTGCTGAGTATTGAAAATCATACATCTCATCCAGGCAATTCACACACTCCTTAAAAATAGACGCGACTATAATTAGATGTGTTCATACAAAGTAAATTACAAAAAACGAGCTAGTCCAGCAATTTACCCATTGCGGAGCCACAAGCAAAAATAGAAGATAGTAAAAATGGCGATCTGAAACCGGTAGGTGGGCAGATGGGATGGGCATCTTTTTGCTTTGCTGTGTACAGAGCAAGCAGGGAACATTCCACGCTATGTTTTGTGTTGATCATTACTGTAAGTTTATATACTAATAAAAAAATATAGAGACAAGCACGAGTCGCTCCTAACTATTTGATGTGCCGTCTCGTTCAGTGGTTGCTTCTGTTTTGGACAACACAAATATTGATTTCTCACTAGCTTTCGCCAGCGGCTTCGCCCCCGAGGAACTACCCCAGGGAAATGTTTAGTCATCTAATACCCTATCTACCAGATAATATACCAGATTTCATCAAAAGTTTCTGCGTGATTGGCGGAGGAATATCCAAACAAAGAAGCTTTCACATTTATAATAATAGGATTACCAATGGTTTTGATTTGCTTTAGAAGTGAATAATAAAAATCAATATTTCAACTTCACCGTGAATCAAATAAATCTGACTTAGAGCAGGAAAGATTATAATAACAGTTCACTGTATGTATTTTTTTGGACTTTCTCTGTTTCATTCCTACATCTTAATCAGTGTTTCATTTTCTAACTTTACCTGCCCTTAAGTCAGCGTAACTTTGAATATATTTCTTTACTCAGGGAAAATATTTTTAATTTCCTGATTTTAATAAAAGTTAGTTCAATAAATTAACATCTTTCAAAATAAGGTTTGCAAGCGTTACCTGTAGGCCCCTAGAATATATCATCATACAACCTGTATGGCAATATGATATTATTCAGTATTCTATGCGTGTAGTTCATAACAATTATTTCTTTACATATTTGTATGCTTAATACGAATGTGCGCTCAAATAGGAATTTGTATATCTTGTAAATAAAGTTTAACGGAATACTTTCACATAAGACACGCTATCAATTGCTTGAGAACATTACAAGGCTGCAACAGTGAAACGAGTGATTATACCTGTATGCTATTATATGTGTAATGAGGAAGTATTTAGAAAAAAAAAGGAAAGCATTAAAAAGCACCTCCACTAGATGGCGACTCTAGCAAAAGTTGATTTTTGCAGGAAACGAATAGACCAAAGACAGTAATTTCCTTTCCTTTTAACTAACATATAAAAAAAACTGAAATTGGAAAAGTTCGAAACTTACAAATACGAAAAAGTACAAATAGAATATGAGTTTTGAAAACTAATTTACTTTTAAACTCGAAAGAAAACCGGAAAGATTGCTATGGAGAAATCAAGAACGTACCGTAGCGACATCTCGTTTGATTTCGGGAAGTAATGTTTTATTTTTAAATCATTCTAACAGTAAGCCACCAAGTAAGCGTCAGCTGAAAATCGACGCCAAAGACATCTGTGGCTTATGTCGAGCTGGAGCCTTTTGGACACACCATGCTGGAATATCTGTCTGTGTAATAGATTTTCTGTAATTTGTGTGTCCAATAATTTATTCATTAATTTATACCTGTCTGAATAATTGTTGTAGCGTAATCATAATAGAAAGTCAAACAGAAAAGAATAACTCATGCTATATTAAATCAATACCTTAATCTTATGGGAACACGGAACCTGTAAAAGGTCCGAAACGTTAATAAAACTAAATAAAAACGCGATGAGACCGTTTAAAAGTTGATCCATTCATGGATAGTGCGCGTGAAATAATTAGTAAGCAATATCATACTATATTAGTATCGAAAAATAAAAAAAATTACGACAATAAGATAGGAAAGGCTACGCTTACGTCAAACAAGACCAAAGTAATTCCTAAGCTTTGCTATATATATGCATCCAGGTTTGAAACGGAAAAATCGGAAAAAGACAGAAGAATTCATGCATGAAAACGGAGCTACCTTTGTAAAAGTGGAAAAAATAAAATTAGTCCATTCAATAAAAATTTTCATTTTTATTATGCTTAATTTAAATGAGTAATATTTTTATTCCGTGCTGCTTGTCAAAAGTAAATATATAGTACATATATCCATCTATATTACCTTCATTGACTGGACTACAAAATATTAAAAATAGTACGATATATTATGGTATATTAATGAATTTATTCCTATAAAAAAGCGTAAAATGGAAATAAATGTGATTTTATTAGTTGTGTGTCACTAGTTTCATCAAAATTATGCGCATGAGATGAAATAGTCTCGTTAAATTGTGTGCATCGTGAAACCTGGCGTTTACACGTGAAACTGCTAGAGAAATTATTGCAATGAAACTTTTGCCATACAACTAGTTTCTTATTGTGAATTATGAAAGGCGTTATTGTGAAAGGCGTCGAAACTAGTCGAACCTAGTCGAAAGGTGTACGAGCCCTCTAATGACTGATTCCAGTTAAGCTACTCGTTAATCAGTGACCGGGTACTTAAATTCAAATAAAGTCATCTTTTGGGATCCGTTGATCATGGCACTAGAAAATAGCAATATTGAAGTTGCTACAGATATGGTAAAGGTAAAACTATTGGATGAGATGTCTAAGGCCAAACCATAGAGAGTGAGTCTGCTTTGCGAGAAAAACTAAGAGCTAAGAAAACTTAGTCCAGAAGAAATAAAAAAAGAGATAAAATAAGTGTTCTCTTTTGATTGTAACGTACGAGGACATAGTCGATATCAATGACCGAATAAGAAAGAAAATATTAAGAATAGATCAGATTCATCTTTGATGACTGCTTTGGGAATAGACAGTCATTCGAATAATTCTAACATCGATTCAGGCGCAACTTCTCATATGACTTCAAGCTATAATTGGCTGACAGATATTAAACCGGTGGATTTCTAGTAAAATGACTGTTGCTAATGGAGAAGTGTTAAATTATTTTAGTTGAATGCCAGACAGGTGTGATTGCAGAACAGAGTATCTTAATGAAGAGTTCTCTGATTGTTTACGTTATAATGGTATTATACATCAAACAATTGCACCATACAGTCCTGAACAAAATGGCGTTTCTGAACGTTCTAATATAGGACAATCGCGAAGAAGGCATGCTGTATGTTGGGTAATAGTTCATTTAGTAAAGCTTATTGGCAGGATGCTATTACCTAAGTGGCTACGTACCTAAAGAATAAGTGTCCGCAAGAGCTTAAGATCAAGGAGCTTTGTGTTCTTTGGAAATACTCACTCTGATTTCAAAGGCAATAAAGCTGTTAGTGTGAATCAAACTTCAGAAGATCCACCTGCGGTATTGAATTTTTCAAATTCTAGGAATGAAGTTGAAGTTCAAGAATCATTTCCTGAAAGTTCTGGAGGTATTTGCAATAGGAACATATAAGTTGTACCAGCTCAGGAACAAGAACATGTTATAAATTATGAAGATATTCTTGAAACTGAGGAGGATGCTACTGCTACAGAACAAGTTTTAGTTGAAGAACCTATCTTAACTGAAACGTATGTATCTTCTAAGAAATCATTTGACCAAGGAAAAAGGTCTTCATATAGAATATAGCTGTGAATTTGATAGTCCTGATGAACCTGGAACTTTTAATGAAGTTATGTGTAACTCAGAATGAATAAAATTAGCTGGATGTCTGCAATGGAAGATGAGTATAAATCTCTAATGAATAAGCAGACATGGATACTTGTTGATAAACCAATCGATAAAAAAGTGATACCCTGTAAGTGGGTATACAAAATAAAGAAAAATGAAATAGTAAAATACAAAGCTAGGCTGGTAGCCGAAGGCTTTATAGTCAGACTTCTGGAGTTGATTATTTTGAAATGTTTGTAATTCCTCCTTGCATACGCTGTTTGCACTTGCTGCCAAGGTAAATTTAAAGATAAGACAATTAGATGTTAACACAGCGTTTCTTAACGGAGAATTAGAGGAAGAAGTATATATGAACCAACCAGAAGGCTTCGTAAAACAGAAACATAGTGGCAAAGTCTGCAGGCTGGAGAAATCGTTATATGGGTTGAAACAACCACCTTGTGCATAGAACATAAAGCTTAATGAGGCTCTTTCTTCATTAGGTTTCAAACGAACTCATTCAGAACTTTGTGTATATACCAAACTCTTTGATAAAGATCTTGTTATACTGGCAGTTTATGTTGATGACATACATTTTTTTCATAGACATGACAATGTAGGAAATGTTGTCAAAAATAACTTGCAAATGTATTTTGATATCTAAGACCTAGGGCTTTTAGACTAGAGGTTTTCTAGACCTATTTAGGAATTAACTTAAATCAAATGGAGAATTTCATAAAAATAAATCAAAAGTATATTTCGAATTTATTAGTGTACTTTAAAATGTTAGAGTATAAGGTGTCACTAAAGGTGTAGTGGTGTACAAAAAGTAAAACTGAAGCCAAATGATAGTAGCGAGGTAAGCTCTTATCTTTATCAATCTCTTATAGGAAATTTGATGTTCTTAGCTGTGAATACTCGTCCAGATATTGCTTATGCAGTTTTCTGAGTTAATTCCTTATTAAGTTCGATAAGTCACACTGGTTGGGTGCAAAATGAGTGCTGCGATATTTAAAAGGTATTATGGATTATTGTATCACTTATATCAAAACGAACGAAGGTCTATTTGGTTACACAGAAAGAGATTGGGCTATTGATCCTAGTGATCGAAAAATTTGTATTTCTGGTAATTCGGATTCGGAGCCGTAGTGGTAATCGCACTACTGAAAGTAACCAGTCGCCTTTATTGTGCAAGAACTAGAGTTTTTTGATATTATTTTCATATTAGAACATAAATAGCGAAGAAATAATATGTAAATAGAATTACTTACCGGCCAGCAGGCAATGAGGTTACAGCTGCAATGCTGAACAGCTCTAGCTCCAATGTGGCTTCACTCATATTATATTTGTAATAAGATTTGCGACGTCAAAGAATGTACAGTCACGTCTATTCGCTATTTTTTAATAATTTATCAAGATTATTTTGATTAATTTATTTTCACTTTAAACGGAACTTTAATAAAAAGTATTTCTTTTGGCTGTTAAGGTTTAACTAAATATTGATACAAAGTAACTAGTTCAGCAATGCTATTCTGTTAAAAACAGGCTCGGATACGACGTCAAGCACTGCTTGAGCTTAAAAAAAATATAAAACTATTATTATCTTTTCAAGTGGGGTTTATTTGCTTGATCCTTCTACATAGTGACAGCGCTGCGCTCGTCGTCAGACTCTAGTCTCTAGCTGGTTTTATAACAATAAAGTAATTGAAACTATGGCTTTCCTTTGTTCATATGAGGGTTCTTCTATCGGGTAGAATCTTGGTGCTCCGAAGCAGTTCGTTTATCTCGCTAGAACTCAAGAATCGCTGGGCTGATTTAGATCTTTTAGGCGAGAAAATATGGAAAAACTGCGAGGAAGATAGTTAAAATATAATTATTTACATATATCAAAAATTTCAGCCGTTTCTGTGATGGGAGAGTATTGGTGTCGTTAGGATAGGTGATACGAATCTCACCGCCTCACCAGGTTATCTAGTAAATCATGAAAATTAATAATAATCGATTATTGTAACCGTGTCCACCATCGTAAACTGCTGTTCTCTGTTTAGTGACTTCATCGCCGAATTTTGGAATAGATATATACTGCGGCGAAAAAATACAGCGATATTGCATAGGTAACTTTGCCAAACATAAGAATTGGAAGGCAGGTTCAGCTTAGCCTCTGCTAAAGAAGAAACTTATATTTGTATGTATCTTTACATAATTAAGCTAGTTAAATGATCTATCGACATGCAACAGATATACATAGATGGCGCTACTGTATTCAATAGATACGTTACGTTTTGAACTCGTTCTCTCTTTCTCCCGTTTAGGTCTTTATGCGTGCGCATATCTTCTCCGATTAAATCTTATTATTAATTTGGACTTTTACATATTTCGACTGCTCGAAGACCCTGATCAATATCTACTTCAAATATGTTATTGCGATATCACTCTAGGAGTGGTGATTAGTGGTAGAAACCTTCCTCCTTTCCGATGCCAAAAAATGTTTTATTGAAAAGAGGGCAGGGAATGGATAGATTGATTTATTTTGAGTGACTTTTTTCCAAGTTTTGCTTGCAACTAAGGCTTGCAATAAATTTAAGTTAATTTTTCAAACGATAAACCAACATTTCAGGTAGTTATTCTAGAATAACTCAAAAAGCATAATTTGAAGAATAAATTTGTGTATAAAAACATGCATCTTGTAAAATCAATGACGTAGTGATTAGCTAATGATAGAAAAGAAAGACAGAAACAATTTAATTGTCCTTTAATTGAAGGATGGTTTTTCAATTGACAAAATTGAAAGTCACAATGTGAAACTTTTGGTAGGCTCTATGATAATAAAGATAATATGGATTAATAAAATAATGATATTTATAAAGATTATCACGTATATTGATTGTATAGAATATAAACGTATTGTCGATAAATTAAAGTTACTTAGCCATCAGATTATATTCTTGTAACTAATATGATAGTATAAGAAATTTGTTTGTCTGCAAACGTTTGGAAGATTACTTGATCATACTCTTGAAGTTCTGTTTCAGTATAACGACTGTATGAAATAAATTACAGAGAGAAGATACAGCACTTGCTGAATCTTTTGCTGAGTGTTCTTCTCAGTATAAGGGTTTTATCCTTAGATTTACGACCCCGATATTGGCTTGTTGTTTGAAATTTCACAATTTGTCGAGGAATTCTCTTACTTGTGGTTGTCTTCACCGTCATATTTAATTCTTGTTTTAAGTGTAAATTATTAGTTTAAAGTAATTGTCTAGTTTGAAAATTCAGTGCCCTACATAATACTCGTAAGAACAATAATTGAATAAAGATTGTATTATATATGTCGCATCATCTTTACGAAGATCGTTTTATTTAGTTTCTTTTATTTTAATTGCTAGTTACTCGATTGCTTAATTACTCGATTGTAGAGAGAGCGTGATCATCGATACTTTTAATTTTATTAGAATGGTGACACTGACTTTGACAGTTCGGTAATAAAAAGCAAGTTGCCGCCATTTTGGCACACATTCTGTTTCCGATCGCCGAGGAGTAAAGATATCCGACGACATCACGCTCATCTCGTTATATTTTCGTGTGAAAAGTGATAAAATGGAACAAATCCACGTTGGTATACACGACTGCAGTGTTATTTTAAAGATAGTCCTCCGATATGGACCATCTATTTGGGCTTCGTAATAGCCCCTTCTGACTACCCGCCGACATATATAACGGTCGTTGATTTTCATATATATGCATACAATATTAGCATATTTCCTATTTTTCAACCATTAACTTCTGATGTAGATGACATGCTATTCAGCCAGACTTATCTTTTCCAATCCAGGACCGCAGATCTGCTAGCGTCAATAGCTCATTAACATTGGTCGAGATGGTCCGTATGTTGAGTAAAGTTTTGTAGGCTAATTACATTGGTCGATAACAGTAATGACAGTCCATGATAATGCGACACAAAAATCAGTCACACTATGCACACGCGCCTTATAGACCGATGTAAATAAGCCTCAAGGTATTGATGGCGTCTTAATAACACCTCTTTGTGACACACTTCTTTTCAATAGGAGACAAAATAACAACAATACCTATATGATGGATTTACCAAGACGCCATTGTATTACTAATGTCTGCTCCTATGTAAAACGAATTATCCTCTGCGATACTTAGATATACAGGAAAAATTAAGCTTAATATTTTTATTTGGATGATGTGTAACTAAAGAAAATTATTATATTCGATTAATTTTGCATTCATAACGCTGTACTGGAAAACTTTCCTTATGAAAATGAAAAAAAAAAATAAAAAATAAAAAAGAATAAATGAAATCTTTTTAGCAAGTTAAAAATATTTGTGAAAATATTTCTTGCTGTTTATGAAAATACGCTCTGTAGTAGTGAAAAAGTAACAAGTGCTTGAAAAATTCGTCAGTTCTGTTAGGTCCTGGATAGCTCAGTGGTTAAAGCAGTCGCCGGGATTGCGAAAGGTCGTGGGTTCGAATTCCTTCTCAGAGTGTTTTCTTATTAGAACATAGCCCACACTTAGGGTCACAGTAGCTTTTTTAATAAATTTTCACAAAGAAAAATAGTTATTTTGGTTTTATATATAGTATAAATAATACAGATTAATAAGGTGTGTAGGTAAAATAAACTAGTATTTTTGTTCGATTTTCAACGTACCAAAATATTTTTTCCGTTTTTTACTGTACAAGGATTCTCTTACAATAAAATAATAAAGAAACATAATGTGGGTAACTAAAATATTTCCGTTATTTAATTTACTAAGGTAAGAACACATTTTTACAGAATGTTAATGTTCTAAACAATATCTACAAAAATATTGTACACTAAGTGATAACTTACAAAGTAAATTTTATTTTACAATTAACAGAGAAAAATCAATATTCAAGTTCAACAAGTTTAAGTTAAGCTTTTTTTTATGATCATCAACTTAATATCTAGTTAATATTTACATTATTCCTTAACAAACGTCATGAATTAGAATATAATATTTCGTTTTATCGGACGAGTCCAAATCTTTCCAGTCTGTTAACAATTTAAAGTTACACATTTATTCTGTTTTATTGATGATTTTTAAATTCTTTTACTTCAATAACTCTACTGTGTATTTTAACAATAAATTGATAACAAACCTTTAGAAATGTCAATATAAAAATTTGAAAATCTACAGGATTTAACTTGCATTGACAGTAAGGCGGGCCGGGTGCAGCCGGCTCATCAATTATCACAACTAATGACGAGACTGCCATCGTCATATCACTATCGAATTGTTCATGTACATTTTGTTCGAATAGGAAACTTCGTATCACGGTAGGCAGTTAAAGGTTAGGGGCAATTTTGTCATGCAGCATTTAAACTTACACTAATTTTTTTTATATAATACAAACATTAAAGTCGAAACCATGGAAAACGCAATGGAAGACTGAGTCCCCGACGTGCCTACTTACAATTAAAACAGACGATTATCACATAAAATAATCTAATGTTACCACGAAATCACAATCGATATTTTTCTTAATAATTACTTTGTTCCCCCAATTAATAATACGTCAATAATCGACGATAAAACAAACAATACACAAAAAAAGTTATCAGGTAGATAGGTAACGTACAAAACAAAACATTAAAGCAATTCGAATTGATATTTTACGCTAAGTTTTGAACAACATGTTGGTAACTTTAGTTTTATATTTAATCGAAATAGAATTACTACTTAAACAAATATTGCATTCAGAAGCACATAGCGCCGCTACACAGGAATCGGCCTCACGAACAACCGCTGTACGAATTGTACAAAATGAGTATTAATGAAAAGCAAAACTTGTTCCGAATAAAATATGGATCTGTGTTATGTGAGTGAAACCCACGGAAACTAAAAAAAAAAACATAATATCAAAGTTTCGTTTAACTTAAACCTTAAAGAGGATTATAATTATGAACACCCAGCCTTTCACTATAAAAAAGTTCGCTAATAACTGGCCACAAAAACGTATTCAACATAGAAATTGGTTTTGAAAAATATAATTCAACAATTAAAAAAAAGAGAGAAGCTTTTAAAAAAATAATGCCTGGTATTAATACTAAACAGTAAATTAATCCAAAAATAGAAACATATACATTATACAAGCATCGTACGTACGAGTAGTGTAATTACGGAATTGTTTAAAGATGTATACCGAGTTAGTAACTAAAGTGAGATTATCAAATTGGTACCTACAATAGTTAAGATTAACAAATCATTTATAATTTCAGGTCCCTTTAATTTCTCTTATTTGTCTGTCCTATACACCAAACATCGTCGTCTGACGAATATAAAATACGTTTTACATATCTTTGGTGCTAATCGACATAACGTGTAAAGACGGTATAACGAATGGAAGGATTTAGAGGCATACCGTTATAATTAACGTTAAATGTACATTTATAAACGAACACATTCTTTTTTCTACTTTAGAAAATACGTATATTGATAGGTCCTATTTATTGAGATTTTTATATGTCTTTAAAAAGCTGCGAAAAATATCAAGTCAGTTTAATACAACTCTGGAACGAGTGAGTACAGACGCATTCATTGCACTATTTAGTCTTGGAATGCCTCAAGCGTAAGAATAGTAGTAGTAATATAAGTAGATGACAGATTAGAATTGAACCCAATATAGACGCTCACTAAAATAATAATTTCAAACATACACTCCATATTTTTTAGTAAGTGCGTTTATAAAGTTCAAATTTTCAGATTTAATATTACTATAGTCAAGTTCAGTAATTAAAATAAATGGAAGACAGTTGGCTGTATAGACAGGACAATAAAACACAACAAAATGTTTCATGAAATCATATTTGTATTGTACTTACTACTGTAATAGTCTGGTCAATTAACGCTTGAGACGTAAAATAAAATATGTACATCATTATTAATTACATTAGATGCTTACAAATTGTAAGTTATCTTTTTAGATAAAACGAAGTGATTAAACTTCACAAGAAAATACCAATACGATCTATATAGGTATATATAGAGATACTTGATACTTTCATTACGTATCGATATACGAATCATAGTTCCAATTCTGACTAGAGTTATTGACTGCATACTCTCGCAAACGAAAATACGCAATCAACCCCAGACCCTAGCGTCGACGTCGTCCAGTGTCGTCGAGATACTGATTTAAATTAGGAGGTAGTTAAGGCGACGTCGTCGCTCCGGCTCTGGGCTTCTTTCGCAACTTTTCATCGACAGGGACGTGACTATTGTCTACGCTTAAGGAATTAATGCGTCGGTGGCTTTTTAAATAATATTTACCCTAACGAAATACATATTTCAAATAAATACTATCCGGAAGTCGCCGGGCCCCAATTATAATTTTTAAACAAATTACAACGACCCGGACCCGCTCGGCGGACTCGTGATTTTTATAAATTATTAGTCGTCGCACCCGCACCGGCCGCGGACATTTCACCGCGGACGTCGCTCGGCAACATCACACCTCTTAAAACTAACACTTAACCCTACGTCCTTCTCGAACGCATATCACATTTGAACTCTCAAAGAGAGAGGAGTCGCACGGCCTCGGGCACGGCGGCGGACGTCATTCGTGCAAGTTCTTGCTGAGCAGCAGACTGTTGTGCGGCCCTGACAAATGCCGGATCAGCTCCGGCAGCGCTTCGAACGTCAGCTGACAGAAGCAACAGTTGAAACGGCCCGGCGTGTTCGTCCGGCCGTCGTTCTCGCTCGACGATATCACGTTCCGGTGGACCGAGCATAAGTGTTTCAGGAGATGCGCCTTCTGCTTGAACATCGCGACGCAGAGCCGACACGCGAACGGCTTCTCCCCGGTGTGGACCCGGAGGTGCGTCTTGAGATTCCAGGACATGCCGAACTGTTTGCCGCAATACTCGCAGCGGTATTCGCGCACGGGTGCCTGCTTGCTGGAGCCGGGGTCGTGCTCGGGAGGCGCGTCGTCGGTGCCGGGCGGGGGCGCGCACAGCCACGGGCTCCAGGGGCCGGCGGAGGGGGGCCGGTACTTACTGAGGGCGTCCTCGTGCGGCGCGGCGGCGGGCGGCGTGCCGGCGCGCTCCGGCAGGTACGGCGGCGCTGACGCGCTCAGCGGGTGCAGCGCCGCCAGACGCGCGCTCGCCGCCGCCGCCGCTCCCGCGCCCCCCGCGTACCGCAGCTGCGCCATCTCCTCGAGGTAGCTCGGAGGAAACGAGACGAACGGCGGATTCTGTGAAGGCGAGTTGTGAAAGCCGGGCCGCCGCTTTCGATGCGGCGTTACGACGTAGCTCTCGGGCGACGTCTGGACGAGGGACATTAGATCTTGGTCGGGCGTTTTCAGATGCGCGTAGTCTTCGAGTTTCACCGTCCGCAAATCGAGTTCAGGCGGTTCGAGATAGTGCGATTTTCGTTTCGCCCTCTCGATGCCTCTGCTCAGGCGATCGCTGAGAAGCTGTCGTCTGTACACTGTTTCCGGGGGTGGATCATCCTGACTCGACGACGTCGATCTTCTTCTGCCTATGTTCTGTAATGAAAAGGAGGGTAAGATCAAATTAATATTTTGCTGTACTGTATATGTTGAATTGCCGTTCCGGTGAACGTATGATATTGTTAACTGATATAAGTATATTTTTAATATTACTTATTTAATTTTAAATTAGCGACTAAAACTTGTAGATGGTTACCTTAGCCGCGACCGTTTCGACGTCCACGTCTTGGGAGTCGTCATGTTCGCTGCCTGTATTTTCAGAATTCCTTTGTACAGATAAGTTAACTGGATTAGACGAACTTCTCCGCCGCGACGTCAACCTTCGACATTCCTTATCTCTATTTTCACTGTCCTGTTCATCCTCATCCCTTTCGTCATTACTACTCGTGTACATGTTTTCCTTCTTTATACTGAGTGATTCCGAGTCGCCTGGGTTCTGCATCTCTTTACTGTATCCTGCACTAGGTGTTATCGAGTCACTTTCTGAATGTGAAGAGCCGGAAGGTGCGTCATGTTTACTGCTCTCGTTACTGTTGATATCTGTCTTAGACTTGAGTTGTTCGCACGTTCTACTCCGTTCTTCCGCTTGTTGCCGTTCCTTTGTCGATTTCCATACGTCAGATTTGATTTCGAGAAGTTCAAATAGTTCTTGCATGTCATCAATCTCACCAGACTGGAAATAAACATAAGCATGCTTTAATAACTCCATTATTGTAATAATCCAAACTCTAAACAAATAGGCAATAATAAAAGATATAATATTTGATCAATTTTGCATTCATAATGCTATACTTATACTTATTTTCATTAAGAAGAATTATTATAGTTCATTTAATATGATTTGAATGATTTTTAAAGTTTAGTATAATATGCTCACCTCTATATATGCTTGTCCACTGTACAAGAACACCAGAAGATGCTTCATTAGCGTACTGCTTATCCCTGACATATGAATGGTGACGGGATACTCGATGGATGGGGACTCATCGAGAATTTTTCTGGAAGAAAAATAAACAATTGCAATGACGAAAAGAAACTTAGCAAATGAACATTTATGATCACTTGTCACATAGAAGAACTTTCCAACGTATATAAACTATTCCTAACTAATTTACGCATGGATCTGTTGACTAAACACCGCGTGAATACGAGTCTAGACAGTAAACGAAAGAAAATACATTTTTTTTTGTTAGTTTTTAATATACTATTACCGATAATCACACTTTTATGTTTATTACACTTATAATATGGCTTAAATAAATTACTATGTAAAAAAATATATTTTGTACTCGTCACGTGACTGCAAAGAGCGTGTGACGTCACGCCCCTATCTATAATTACTAATATAAGGTTTAAATTGAACCTTATGCTTAATAGAACGATATTAGTTTTTGAGGGCACAGCTACGCCGGTCACAGTTACGCCATGACAGGAGTTGGCATTTTTGCGGGAAGCTTTGAAAACTAAATTTATTTATGGATTTTAAACTTATTAAACGAATGTTACTTTAAAAAAATGTTAGTTATATTTCATGTATATCTATAAATTAAAAATATAAAAAAGGGTGTAGACAAGTATTTTGTATTTTTATTTTATTGTTTGTTTATTATGGTTATAATATTGTTTCTAATAAAATATTTGTTGCACTACTTTTCAATTTTATCGTTTTTTACCTGAATAATGATAGTGTTGCCACCCTTAAAATCACGTGCATATATCTTTTAAATAAATGCTTTGACGTTCAAAGACAGCTTGTGGCAAAGTTGCTTGGACAAACTTGTTGGCTTATATCTATAGAATTAAAAACAATGAATACCTGATGAGAGGGCTGGCGGCCGCCATGACGATGCGATGCGCGGCCAGCGGCACCGCGTCGTCACACACGATGATGAGGTCGGAGTATCGGGCGCCGCGCCACGCAGCACCCACCTCGTTCAATATGCAGGCGTGGTGCTTGCCGTACGTCAGCGTCAGCAGCCCCTCGCCCATCATTCCAGCACTGGAAACAAAGAAACAAGATTGAATGAAAGATGTCTATGCCCTTATGGAGAACCCTAAGCTTATATGAATGAAACATTGCGTGCGTATCCAAGTAACAACACTCTCTAAGATTATAGAGAATATTGTCCTCTTTCTCCAAAGGCAGTAAAGTTTTTTTCTTTCTTCTAAGATAATAAAGATTTAGATAAACATTTGTAACGAACGTTATTTCATATGGATATATATAATTTACTTTTTTTATTTCTAAAATAATAAAAGTGTCTATTTCTATATTAGTCTTGAAATCTTGAGATCTGAGGAAGGATATATGTAATAAAATGAGAATTCGGCAGTAACAACAAAATAATTGTAAAGGTAGATTACAATTAACCTTTCTATATTGTCATTATATTATCAAAGCAATGGCGTCTTTAATATTAATTATAAAATATGTTTGGGTCCGACCTAGTTTTCTGTAGCGCACGATAGATAAACTCGTCGCCGTAAAATAAGTGAAATCATACAAAATTTGAGGCCCAATCCGGAGCCACGTCCTCGGTTGATTAGTTCAGTACGATGATAAACTGAAAATCAGTGGTATAAAGGAACACAAGGTTGAAGTCGGTGAACTGTTACGAAACATAAAACGTTTCAATATCATTACTATCAGTTAAACCGACGCACTTTGCACAACTGTACGTGTACGCTCAGATATAACATCAGAAAAAACAATAAACTCACTCGAACAATTCCATTTTTAAAGTTTCCCAACCAAATTAAAGGCTAAAAGGTGAGAAGAATTTAAATTAACACAAGCGTGCTCTTGTGCTGCCTAAAATAGAGACAGAAGTCCTAGTGGCAGGTGCTAGAAAGCCTGTTGCAAGACGACCTTGGCCCGATAAAGCATCGCAACGCGTTATTAGAGTTGCGATAGAAGTGCAAGATCGTTTAAAAGACGATCAGCAGGCACTTCTACTGCATTGTGTAGGCGTTTGGCAACAGTGGGGTCACAATCAGCGCAGCACCGCTCATTGTTGTCGGTAACTGTTGCTCTATTGTTGCACTGTTTCGCTTAAAAGTCATATTTAATTGAAGAGACTGGAACATAAAAGTGCAACGCGAGATGTGAAGCCGATTCGTGAATTCGGCACATTCGTGGAATGTTCACGTACAAGATGATCTTAATCGCCATGCTCTGTCACGAATTTGTAATGATTTTGGTTTCTATTGTTTGAGTTTTTGGCTTGGACTGCTCACTTCGGTGTGGTTTTGTTCCAAAGGCCATCGAGAGCGTGCACATTTATAACATAGATTTTAATCTTTATGTGAACAACTATTGGTGTCATGATCTTCTTGATTTTGTACATTCTGCATCAAGATTAATTGAATATTATGACTCAATCGTAACTCATTGAATTTATAATTTCATTCAGACAGTTCTGGTCGTTCTATACGAAACTTATATACTCATAAAAGTTTTTTTTAATCTCATTAGTAAATTATACTACTGTTTTTATTAGGCTTACATCTAAATACTTGCACAAGGAAGTCATTTTCGTAGCTTTATGTACAATCATATTAGCATTTTGATCATTAGATTTATTTTACGATAATAACAATATGTGGACAAAAAATTGCTCGCTAACAAAGAGTTGCCATTTCCTTGAGCGCGGGAAACGTGAAGTAATTCACAACAATGTAACAAGTGTTATGGCCGAGATAAAAAAATGTTATAAGACTTGCGGGGAAACGTGATGCCGAATTTTCCTTAGGCCATAATGTGGGCTGATTTAAAAAGCTAATTGAAGGTCGCGTTCCTTTGTAGCTTACTAATGTTCGAGATCTATATATGGAGAACAATAAAAAATTTGTTGCTAGTTAAATTTACTTAAGAAATACTTGCAGCTAAGGCGGTAGCCATCTTCTGGACTAAATATGGCGTCGAAGGTTGCTTTGTCCGAGAAAGGTTTTCGTCTATTAAGAATAAATGCCGTTTAACCTTTAAAGATGCTATAAGGAAGTAGTATTATTTACAGTTTCCATAAACATATTATTGCTTACTTAGTAAAATATTCTACAACTATTTGAACGACTAAGATACACATTCTTGTTTGTTTTAGACAAATTCTAATGGATCCACAATCTATAGCTTTCGCACTAGCTACATTGAATGATTATTTATTCATTTTTCGCCTTAAAGGATCACTCATTAAACTAGAATTAGAATTCGTTTTAAAACGATTATTTGAAAATACCATTTACCTGACTTTTCGTAGTTTTAATGAAACTCATTAAATTTATAATATAGTAGGAAACAAAGCTTTTCAAATGGCTGTTTAATATTTTATCAATTTAGTGTAGAAGTACTTGACGAATATATGCAGGCGCATAAATAAGAATATAATGTTAGAGTTAACACACGCAGTGTCTGTGTACAATGCCGGACACACTTTTTTCCGCGTTATTTTTTATCGATACGTCTCGCCATACAGATTGAAGTACGTCATATGTTTGTTATTCATTAGTTTTAAAAACCGGACTGCGCATGAGAAAAGCAACTGTAATCTTCACTTATGTCGAATATATCCAATCAGTTGTTGTACATAAAAAAATAAATAAATAGTATTTATGATCTTGCCTAAGGCAAATATATTTTTGAGAGCCTCAGAACATAACTTTTAAATTTAGTTTTATAAGAAGAGCACTACGTTAACACATTCTCAATGTCGGCTTCTTCTTTAATACTTTTAATTTTTTTCTTTTCCACCCTTAGCAGTTGCTGGGTAAGTACTTGATTCACGATCTTTAATTTCTTTAATCATGAATTCTTACATCTTTCATTGCATCTGTATTTAAGGTTGTACCTTAGAGGTGAATCTTCATAAATAGGTATATAGTACATATATTTCGTAACAATTAGAAATATTATTCAAGTAAGATGTTACGCTTAGACTGATCATGAAGACTATCTCTAATCGGAGATGGTTTGGTACAATGGTGTAGTAAAGAGCAGTAATTGTGGCCAAGGTCTGCAGTGCTTCAGGGCGCAGCGGAGCGAGGAGGCTCGCCCTCTATTGTCTGTGTGAAGCCGCTTGCGACGCTGCAGTTCACATGTTTTGCATAAAATCGGGTGTAGGGATGCTGGCAAACACTTGTCCTAGTTCTTTTACTTTGGGAAAATAGTATTTACCAATTATAAAAATGTTCTCTTCTTACACCATTTTACGTAAATGGTTTAGTGCAGTGATTCCCTGAGTTCCCTTCCCAGGTGGACCCCAGGGGTCCACGAGGGATTCAACGGGGGTCTACGTTGGCGTGAAATAAAAATAGAGCGCCAATTTCCATCGTTAGATTTTCACATTTTGGACGAATTTTAGGAATATGGTAAAAATAAAGCAGCAAATTGGGAAAAAATATACGGTTTACGAGAAAAAATTGTTTGGGAACCTCTTGTTTAGTGGATATTAAATCTGATCTAAAGAATTTTGAGGTAAAAGAATCTATTGAACTTCCTTTTTGAAAAACGAATAACAGACAAAAATATTTATTATAGTAAATAATGTTATAAACTATGGATATTTGAAAGCTAGATATGTTCTAATGTCTATATTTATTCAATAATTATAATATTCATTTGAATGTACCAGAATGATAGTTTAAAATATCATGAAATAATAGCAGTTTAAAAAAATACCAATTTCTAAAATATATATCTGTATTTCGTAGTACCTAAACGAAAGGACAAACCATCACATATCTCCAATGCCATCTATCAAAAGCACAAGACAGTGAGCACTTTCTATTTTCTGTTCATACTTTGCCTTTCTACTAGAGGGAAGAGAATGTAGTAACAAACTATATTTATAGATGGCGCTACTAGTCCAATCATGTTTATCGATAATGTAGGAACGATCACGATCACGAAACAAACTTTGCGTGTACAATGAAAAAGGTAATTGTGAAAGATAAATGGAAAGGCAAACTTTAAACGTTGTTGGTAGATGTTTGTATGGCCTTTTGCATTGTCACCGATTTAACCTTCGTTTCTTACATACACTCACTTTCACCAACTCTTTTCTGTAAACACTATACCGGAAACTTTTATTTTAGGTAAAGGCAATATCTTTGCCTCTTACTTACTAATTTGGCATCGAAGGATAATCGAGTTGAGCAACAGCTTTGGAAAGTATAAAAATAAAAACAAACCAGAGCAAAATAACAGCGGCATTTCCTGTGGTTTAATTGAATTAAATAAATGGAATGATTATAGAATAGGATTTTTTTAAACTTCTTAGGATATGATTTGAGTCTTTAGGTTCCTCATCATGAGCCTATTAATATCCCAAATGACAAACAGGCTTTCCCTATGGATGGATTCAAAATAAGAGAACAAATTATACGATTTTATTAATAAAAAAAATATTAAAGAAAAATAAACACAAAAAAGCGCACCATATGAAAATTCAATCATCACAAAACAGCTGTCGGCACAGGAAGCGAGATAAATGTATGTCATGTCATATAATGATAACTTGATCAAATAAATCGTTTCACGGCGTACAAACTCAATTAGAAAACAAAATTATTATCAATCAATTCAGTGTTAACATTAATAATACAACTGATAGAGACATAAAAACCGAGAGTCCGCAGAAATCAGCGGTAATGATCAGGAAGGCGTTGTGCGTGTTGTTTACAAACGAGGAACAATAATAATATCTCAATCACTCAAAGAATCAAGTGTACGGCTCAAGGTTGCATCATAAAAGAAATACCCGTCTAACTTACATAATGTGCCCACTCTAATTAACGACGCGCCGGCCTAGAATGGCAGTCCGGCTGTATCTCGTTCACTCGGTCCATTCTGATATTAAATTTTTGTCCATTAATGGATTTTATGACAGCCATGTCGCTGTAAGGAGGAATAGCACCAGTAAATGATTGTGCAGAATCTATAAATAATTATCATTGACAATTTAATTAGCGGCATCTATATTAGGTTAAAGTTTCAACTTGGAT